ATTTATTTTCTCCCCCCACCTCCTCCTTTCTATGTAGAACGGACCCTTTTCTGAACATGTCTTCAGATACGAATGTGTGGAGCGGGATGGGTCGGTCACATGACCAGCTGTCGGAGTGGATGCATGAACTCCGCTTCCAGGCACAGCAGACGGGCAGCCTCGGGTATTGCCGCGAGGAGCGGCGGCGAAATGGTTCTCCGCCCTTCTGTCTCAGGGGCCGTACAGGTGGGGCAGGGTTTCCAGCTTGTTCTCTCTCTTCGCTTCCTCCACCCCACGCAGCCACTCTGTGCACCTGCGCACCAGCTCCTGATCCACGACCCCCGGCGCCGGATCCTCCTCGTACTCCTCGTCATCGTAGCGATTCTGCTCGTTAAGCAGGGAGATCTTCATGATCGAGGTCAGGTTTAGGCCGGCCATGCTGCGGGAACCCGGCAGTAGCCCGGTGTCGTCGATGGGATTCTTGAACCCCCACTCTTTCTCCAGATGGCGTCGCAGCAGCAGTCTGGTCGCGTCGGCCGTGAGCTTGATGTTGTACTGCTTCGCTGGGACTGCTGCCTTCGGCTCCCTCCTCGCCGCAGCACCTGGGTTCTTGACAGAGCGGCCGCGGGTACGGGTCGGGTTCGACCTCTGTGGCTGCTGCGGTGGATGTGGCTGTAGCTGCTGCTGCAGGGAGGCGCAAAGGCGAGAGTTAGGCAAGGGGCCGGTCCCCGCCTGAGGCGTCCTGCGCGGATTCCTCTCCCTGGGTGGCGGTGCTCGATTCTTCGGAGCCACCTGACTCTTAGGTGGTGCACGGGTGGTGGCGGGGCCAGAGGCCGCAGCAGCGTGAGGCTGGATGGGCGGTAGGGGCATGGTGGTGCTGCGTGGCCCCTCTGCTCCGCCTGCCGACTCAGCAGCCACCGTCGCCCGGGGCAGGTGGAACGGAACTGTCTCCGCGTTTGTGCTGTGCTCGCAAAGGAGAGACGAGCTCTGCTTCAACTGGCGGTGGCTCCAGCTCGATAAGGTAGACAGGCGACGGTAGCAGGGCTGAGCCGGAGCAGTGGGTGTGGGGGGAGGAGGAGCGGGCGGCGGAGCCGTGGAAGCGCTCACACGGGAGGTCCCTTGGGAAGGCAGGGATGCCAACACCTGGGAGGACTGAGGCACTCTTCTCCGGGCAAGCTTCAGTGTCACCACCTGAGAGGACAGCAGCACTGACTTACGGGAGAACTGTGATACCAGCACCAGAGAGGGGTCTGGCCACAACAGCTGAGAAGGCTGAGGCACCGTCACCTGGGAGAACTGCGACGACGACACCCGAGAGGGCTGCTGCGACGACGTCACCTGAGAGGATTGCGATGTCCCCAATGAAGGCTGGGATGCCACCATCAGAGAGGGCTGTGATGTCCCCTGTTCCAGAGTCTGAACACTGCTGAAAAAGAGGGATGGGTTAAAACAGTACTCCAAGGGGAGACAAGTCTGACAGAGCAAGAGATGTCAAAAGATAATCCCGGAAACGTTCACAAGAACAAACTCTACAGGCAGTTTGAGCAAGGCTGGAGCATTTACAGCTCTGAAATATTAGAGGGACTTCTATTTTAGCTGCTAATACTCTGGCACCGACCAGTATTTTCAGCCCCTCAGGGCACATACTACTGCTCTTACACTGCACTCCTTGGTGCACAGGGGAACTGCTTTTTACATTTTAAAACTGTCATTGCCACTCGACATCTTTTGATGGTGATTAGTCCATGTGGCCTCATTCACACCTCCTTCCACTCATAGCTGACAGCCTCTTTTAAAGAGTCTGTCAAGATCTGCTTTCTTTTGTTCCTCAATCTAAGCCTCTACCTCTATCCACAGCAGCAAGTGGTAGAACACAGGCCAATCTTCCACAGAAATATTATGCAAGCCTGTTTCCAAAGGGTGAGCACATGACAGTGTAAAAATGTAGCCACCATGGTGTTTTCTTAACAGAACATGCAATCATCTCCCAAAGATCTGAGTTAACATGCACGTGAAGACACGCTTGTTTCAGCTAAATCTGGAGGAGACAGAGCTACTGCTGGTGGAGAGAGGGAAACAAAGACTTTTCAGCCACCTAAAAACTAGGACCTAGGCTGTCTACTCTGGCTTCAGGATCCTCATAGTCTTGTTATGCCTTAATCGCTGAAGTTGGTAAAAATGTTTCAACCACAGCTTGTCCCTAAAAATACTTTCACAGAAGCTAAGTACAGTATATTGAGCATATTGCATATAGCAAATTCATTTACGTGAACCTCTGAGGAGCATTTTTTCAAAATACCAATAAAATTAAAGATGCTTTAAAGCAGGGATGGGCATTAATTTTTGATGGGGAGGCTGTTCCAAGAGGTCAAGGGCCACAATTCTCTATGGAGGGGAGGTGGGATCTGGAACAGAAATTGGATGCGAAAGGGAGCTGAGGGTAGGGTTCGGGTGTGCAGGAAAGAGTATGGGCTGTGAGGGAAGAGGGTTGGGGTGCAGGAGAGGATTCTGGTCTGGAGGAAAGGTCTAGGAGGGGGTGCAGGATTTGGGAGAGACCAGGAACAGGAGGGATTGTGACCTAAGGCAGGGAGTTGGGGTGCCAGAGTAGGCTCTGGCCAGGAGGCACTTACCTAGGCGGTTCCAGGCTAGCTGCCTAATGGAACCCTGTGCCAAGTTCCCTGCCTACCACAACCCCAGAGCTCAGAGTGGCTGCTCCATGTGTCTTTCTGTGGGGCACAGTGGGGGGAGGAGAAGGAGGCTCTACATGCATTGCCCAGGCCCCCAGCACAATCTCTCAGCTCCCATTGTAATGGAGATCGTGATGTAATGTCAAGTGTGTCCGGTATTTTTGCTGGAACCATCTGGCAACCCCTAGCTCTTACACAGCAGAGCCCCACTTGTCATGTCAAATTGGGACCAGGACCAAACCAGATGATCAAAAATTCAGATATTCAGGAGAGTAGGGAAGTGTGAGGCCACAGCGCCATCTAGTGGCCATGGGAGGGTTGCCTGCTGCTGGCCCTGCATGCGCTGGTTATTAGGTCAACATGGAAAGCTGCACAATGGAAGGCTGGAAAAATGGGGCTCTACTGCACCACATCATCTGTAAGGACTCCATGTAATAGGGCACCTCCTATTATACACTCCTGGCAGAGACACACACACACACACACACACACACACACACACACACACACGCACACACGCACACACACACACACAGATCCTCAACCTCTTTAGCAACAGGGCAGATAGTTGGGTGGAACAATCTACTCCTGACAGAATCAGGCCCAACCAATGTAGAGAAGCGGAACAATTCCCCAAGCAGATGATACATTCTGGCTCATATGCTGGGTGTTAAAGAGAACAACGTCCTGAGTCTTCTCCCTATCACTATCTCATCCACTCAACAGTGAGACTCTGGCAGGGCAGGAAGCTAAGGGAAACAAAAGACACAAATTCCACTCTCCCCAGTGGTAAGGAACAAAAATCCTAGGTGGGAAAAGAAGAGTTCCCAATAGGTCAGGCAGCATCAGCACCAAATCTATCACAGGCTCTTACCTTCTCCGCAGAGATGTGTCTCTTTTCTCAGAATTGGATTTGTATAACACTCCAAGAAGATTCTTCTTAGTGTTCATGTTCGAGGCCTGAGAGCACTCAAGGTAAGAAGAGCAGACCTCGAGATGACTCCCGGCCGCAAAGCTACGGGAGTCTGAAATTGCCCCAGCCCCGCATCCTGTCCTTTTACAGCTCTGAAATATTAGAGGGACTTGTGGCTTAGCTGCTAATACCAGTATATTAGCTGCTGGCCATGCATGCGCTGGTTATTAGGTCAACGTGGAAAGCTGCACAATGGAAGGCTGAGAAAATGGGGCTCTACTGCACCACATCATCTGTAAGGACTCCTTTTAATAGGGCACCTTGTAGTATACACTCCTGGGAGACACACACACACACACACACACACACACACACACACACAGATCCTCCACCTCCTTAGCCAAAGGGCAGATAGTTGGGTGTAACAATCCACTCCTGACAGAATCAGGAACTGCTCGGGCCCAACCAATGTAGAGAAGCTGAACAATTCCCCAAGCAGATGATACATTCTGGCTCATTTGCTGGGTCTTCAAGAGAACAAAGTCCTGAGTCTTCTCCCTATCACTATCTCATCCACTCAACAGTGAGACTCTGGCAGGGCAGGAAGCTATGGGAAAAGGGAAACAAAAGACACAACATCCACTGTCCCTAGTGGTAAGGAATCGTTCCAATTTTAATGTTTCCCAGACCTTGCATTTGACCAGCACCCGATAGGTCAGGCAGCATCAGCACCAAATCTATCACAGGCTCTTACCTTCTCCGCAGAGATGTGTCTCTTTTCTCAGAATTGGATTTGTATAAAACTCCAAGAAGATTCTTCTTAGTGTTCATGTTCGAGGCCTAATAGCACTCAAGGTAAGAAGAGCAGACCTCGAGATAACTCCCTGCTGCAAATCTACGGGAGTCTGAAATTGCCCCAGCCCCGCATCCTGTCCTACCTGGCCCTTGTCATGGGTTCTCTGTGAGTTCACCACCTGTCAACGTCCTTTAACCAATAAGCGGAGACACCGAAAAAGGCCTTGTGATTTCACCGCCACACCCAGTCCTGCCCCTGGCCAGCCCCTCTGCATATTTGAGCCTCTCCCCCCTGCATTACCCCTACTCACTCAATGTTAGTTCTAGGAATCAAGCAGGCTCACATGGAATCATCAGAGGCTGCTCAGTGCCACATGTACTTGACAGATTGTAAGGCCAGAAAAGACGAATCACCTAACCCCAGGGCGGACAATAATTTTCACTGTGTGGGGGGTCACTTCAGGAATTTTAATATGTGGTCACAAGCTGGTTTCCAAGAGGGGAATCCCATTCAATTAAAGTATCGGGGCCTACGGCAACAAAAAAACACTGGTTATGAATATCCTAATACTGTACTAATATATTGGAATGTACAAATATGTTTGCGTGTACTAAAACAGCAGAATGAATTAAACCGATTTGAACAAAAATAAGCCTGCAAGTGAAACATGGCTGTGAACATTTAGAATGTTAAAAATCTGACTGGAGAAGTTGGGATGCATGAAAATTAAGAGAACGTCTTTTAGTATTTAATTTTATATTATTTCACTGCTTTCAGCTCTCTTGAGAACAGTCCCCCCGCTTGGGGCTCTTGTACGTTTCAAAAGCAGAATCACAGCAGAAGCAGCGGGAGTGGAGCCTGTTTCAGTCCCCACTTCCTCTGTTTCCTGCTGTATCTCTACCTCCCCTGTCCCCCACAGAAACAGGACTGGAAAGAGCCAGCTTTTAAGCCAGTTCTCTCCCCCACCCTAGGTACATCACTAGTCGACTATCCGATAAGCTTATGCTCAACCTATATTCCACTAGTCACTTCTATCCCTAGCTGCCATATGAAGAGAGATTAACAAGATTGGGAATTGTCCTCTAAGAGGAGATGGGGTATGTGGAGATACAACAGAGGTTCATCAAATCATGACTGGTGTGGAAAAAAGGAGCAAGGAAAAAGTCATTTACTTGTTCCCATAACACAAGAACTAATAATTTTTGACCGGGAGCCCCAAGCTGCCCCAGAAGGGGCTGGGCCAGGACACTTCCCGTTTCCCCACCCACAGATCCTGATTGCTTTGCGGGGGGAAGGGGAAGGAGCACATAAAGTCTTTGCACCACCAATTGTTCACAACAGCTGGCTGTTCCCTCTAGGTACCTGTGCTCCTGGCAGTGGGAAGAGACTTCATGTGCTTCCTCCTGATGCCCACGAGTCAAACAGGGCCTAGGGATGGGGAGCAAGTGAAGTCTCTCACTTCTGAGCTGCAGCTAGTGGTAGACTTGAAGTGCTGAGCCCCTTGTAGAGCCACAGGAGACTTCACATGCTCCCCCTCCCAAGCCCTGATTGGCCTGGGGGCGGGGGTGGAGATGGAGCAGTCTCTTCTGGCCCTGCAAAGAGCATCCCTGCACTCCTTGCAGGGTGGGAGGCAACTTCGTGCACTCCCGCAACCCCAGGCCCTGATTGGCCTGGGAATATGAGGAGCAGAAGGGCCTCTGTGGGCCTGGTCAGCTCACTTGGTGGCCAGA